ACGGACCTATCAGGATTTTAACATTCATCTGTCTATGTTTATGACATAAAAAACAATACCATCCTTGCAGGCGTTCCACTACCTCCTTCCTCGTGCACCCCTTGCGCTTCTCTCACGTCCAGAATCCCCTTTCTCTTCCATTTCAAAAGCCTGCCACCCAGGCTACCCATTTGTTAACATGCATTACAAATATCACTTTCATATTACATTAACAGAACATTTTCCATCTAGCTCTATCACAGAACAAAGAACTTATAAACCACTGTAGACTGAGGGGAAAATTACAGGAACATTTTCCAGAATAAAATAACAGAACATTTTCCACCTAGCTCTATCACAGAACAAAGAACTTATAAACCACTGTAGACTGAGGGGAAAATTACAGGAAAGATAATGTTCAGCTGCTCTAACACCTGATACAAAAAAAAAGTCAGAGGGGTTGAGAATTCTTTTATTAAGACAATATAATATTATTTTTTTTAAAACATGTATGAAACCAGATAATCATGTACTCACAGACTGAACACCATCATCAGTATTGTTTTCAACACTGCTTCTTCTGTTCTTGCCCCACTCAGCATGTACTCGCACCTTCTCATAAGTTGATGGTTCTGCTATGTCTCTTGGATATGGGTATTTTAATAATGTCAAAACTCCTAAAGAACAATAAAGAAATGATCAAAACTAACCTGAATTAGAAAAACTTCAATAATGATAACAAGTAGAAAGCTTGGATCATTTTATTTTTTGTCACGTGAGTAGCATTTATTGTCAGTTTATCTGTAAAAATGAATTTGTTTGCATAATAAAAATAATATAATACACACTTGCACCAAAATGGCTGATGTGTGCATGATCTCTGAAAAGACCATGCATTTACATGTACTACCAAGCTACAATGAGGGACAAAAGTGTTGACACACTTCCGTAAAATGGCCCCTTTTTGCATAGTGGATATACTTATCCCCTTCCCCTGTCTACCCCAACCCCCTCCCCCCAAAATCAATGTTGAATTTTGGACCCTCAAGTATTTTTTTACTTCAGACAACATTGATTCGGGGGGTCGGGGGATTTACGGCATTTAAAAGGAATGAAATAATAAATGAATTAAATGTTTGTTAAAAGCACCCATTTTAAACAAGTGTGTCAACTACTTTTGTCCCTGATTGTAGTCTATAAGTTAATGCCAGGCTAGGGTTGCCTTGGCCATAGGCCTCTTTGCAGTGATTCATTCTCTATTGATACACTATTCAAATTTGTTGGTTTTGCTCAGTCAGTCCACATTTGTTAGTTGTGCTTGAAGTCTGAGAGTTGTTTTTTTTTTTATTCATTGGGGTTTGTTCTCATAAATTATTCAACCTACGGGGTTAAACTTAACCTGGGTTTCTTTACCTTGTGTTCAAAAGCATTTTCTCATATAATTTTGTCTGTTATTTTTAGAGCTTCCAATCATCAACTTGCAGACAAAAAGAATTAAACTGAAATGGTTTAAGCTTTCAAATCTGAACTCAAATCTCGCACTTACCCTGGGTTATCTTAACCCAGCTTTGAACAACTCCGCCCTGGCCTCTACATTATTCTTGTGCTACCTTAACATTTACCGACAAAAGTACACAGCTAGGGCTGAATTTCATGTAAAAACCTTACCTGAATCACCACCAATCAAAGGTTTGTTTTCAAAGTGTTCTACAAATTCACTCAAACATGAAAAAGTACCCATTCCAAATTTATACTGTGAACCATCCCAACCAATCTGGAAATGCTTCACTGAATTGGCACACCTGAAAAAAAAAGGAAAATGAAAACTGATCCAGCTGTGCTAACAAAGCTCCTTGGAGTATTGCTACCCTCTCTTCAATTCCCCACTGTAGAAAGGAGATGGGAACTGCAGCTGAAATGCATCTTGCAATATTGTTTCTGGCTTCTCTTAAGCAACCATGCGATCCACATATTGAGGGAAGTTTGCTTACAAGAGCTTTTAGCAGAAAGCTTGCCATATATGTATGTAAATAACCCCTTTTTTGTAAATACATTCAGGTTAAAATATTAGTAATAACCAAAGGTTACAGAGTGCGGGTGACAAAGATCGAAGGTCAAAACCCTTTTGCTCAATCACTGTGTTTCGCGCAAGTTTCACGTAACAGATAGTCAAACCACGCATGATCAGATTGCGAGCGATAGAAGGTCCAAACATGCATGATCGAATTGCATTCTGTGCATTCCTTTTATTCTTAGTGGAAGGCAATTAAAAAGCTCTTAAATTCATTAATTATTACATTCACGTTTTTTTTTTTTAACAAACCATACATTTAGCGCTTTTGTATGTATTACCCTAAATTTGATCAAGAAGTTAATTTTGACAGAGTGGCTGCTTGCAAGAAGGAAAAGTGGTGCTTAAAAGAGCTTTACATTCAAACCAGGTTTTACAATGCTGATCAAAACTAAAGCTGGTTGCTTGCAAGAGAAGTCAAAAGGAGATTGATTGACTGACGTTCTAAACATTTGGTTTCTGCTTTATGGATATTCTGTTGGGTGCTTTCCAGTAATGCGTTTGCCTTCAATTTATATCTTTCATCAATTGAATTCTTTAAGTCTCTACCCAAGAGCTGTTCAGCATCAGAAACAATAAAATGTCTGGAGATAAATTTAACTTAAGGAACTTGTTAAGTCAAATCTATGCACTCTTTGGTAGATTGCTCAAAATGGAACCAAAGGGGAGACTCAAAGCAGCGACATGCTGCACATCTTCCTGATAGATAAGTAATAGAAAGTCAAAAGCGATGGCTAACACAAAAATGAAAATTTAACATCATCATGAAAAAAATTTAATTCTCTGGGTGTTTGTGAGAATATGGCTCATAAGCTCAACAACCTATACTGACAATGTACAAACAGCACTTGCTAACAGTTGAGTGACAGTCAAATGATGTTTTTATTGCTAAGCATTTGCCAATCTGCCAAATGGCAGTCAATTTGGCTGCTAATGGAGTTTTGGGGGATGATGCCAATCACAAAAGATAAGAGAATGCTTACATGTACATGTAGCTCCAAAATGGTCAGGTCATGTGTAACTCACAAAAACAACTGCATACATTGATTTACATGTATAATATATTTTTATGACTAGACCTACACTTTTTTAATAAAATCATATGCCATTCCAAAACATTTTGAACTCTAGAATTTAGGTGGAATATAATTTTGCTTCATTTCTTGCTGTCCTTTGGTCAGCATTCAGTTCAATGTGGTGACGAATACAGAAATACATCTAATGCTGCCAGGGGAGGAGGACTTTGAGATAAAAGATGACAGGGTAATGGTCACCAAACAATGAATCATCTACATGTAAGTATGCGTAGGTGTGATGAGGTCACTGGGTGTGACAAAATTCTCTTCCATTTCTATGACTGGAAAAGTAATGAAATACATGTATAAAATGGAAAATCCCTTCAATGAATAGGCACCATAAAAAAGCTAAGATATTATTTTCATTACAGGATTGCTAACTTGCCACACCTTACAACCAAAAATATTCAGATCCTTTTTTATTAGCCTCAAAAAAAATTTTCTGACCTTACAATTTCACATTTCCTCTTTCTTCACATTTGATTTCTTGCTGTTTTTCAAGAAATCCAAGTTTTTTTGTACCATTTGGAGGGTGGAAGTCGATCAGCTACTGTACAAATTATATTCCAGGATTAAAGGCATGACGGTTTTCACCAAACCCATGTGACAACTTGAAAATGCAATCATCTGACTTTGATATGAGTTTGTCTATATAGATCTATAATACTTTTTTTTCTTACATGTATTCTCAATGACTGTCTACACAATTTGTCTTCTTCCTGACAGTCAGAAACCCTGAATTAGATTATGATCTTTTGAAGAAATAGTGTCCAAGCTAGAAATTATCATGCTCCATGGCCAACCATACTATTTTGCCATCACTTAAATGACATAGAAGTCTACAAGAAGGCATTTAGCTAAAAGGCTTCTGATAACACTTTGAAACTGACTTACTTTACTGACAGTGAATATTCTCCAGGATTGGATGTGCTTGCCCTTAATAAATAACTCCCATCTTTTCCATTTGCCATGATCTCACACATTATTCATCATAACCAGCTATTGTTGACCAAATATGGAAGAGTTTTGCAATATGTGAAAAATGATGTCAAAAGTGCAGTAAAATTGCCAGATTACTGAACCTTTAACCGAGAAGACCTGGGGACGAGGTTGAGTTGTTTTGGTTGTGACTTTAAAATGGCAGGACATTTCCCTGGTTTCAGAGTAAGAAATAGGTGAACTATTGGCTAAAAACATAGCAAGAACAGCAAGATCAAGAAGACAACCCAATGGACGACACCTGCTATTTGGAGAATATTTGCACACCTGAAAAAACCTTTATCTCCTAAACTTGCTGATAAACATACACTGTTGAAGATGAACTTAACATGGATGGAGGTAAGCATGTTTTAGCTTGTTTTTAAACTAGGAATTAAAGTTTGAATGAATAAAAAACAATAATTATTGAATTTGGCTTTCGTGTCATCTGAAGAATATCCCATTTTACAGTTACAGGTGGAAACGATGCTGGAGTTGACCTTGTTTTGATATAACCCTTCCTGCTTTATTATGTAAATCATGTTGTTGTTATGCTAACTAGTATTTTTCAAGCATAATTTTCATTACAAAAGGAAGGAGGGTTGTATCAAAACAAGGTCAACCTCAGCCTCACATTCACTCAAAGGCTAGGGTACTGAGTCCACAACTGTAAAAATGGTCTCTGATGGAGATCTCAGATGGTGTTATCTGTCAAGGCCAAAAACACTCAGTCCTCGAACTCCATAATTCTTAAGATGATACTCAGCCTCATTCAATAATTGTTAAATACTGGTGCTTTTCAGGAGAGATCCTATACTTTCAACTGCCAAGAAAAACCCCGCAATACTGTAACTGATATCTGTGAACAGCAAAAAAATGTTTGGAGCTATTCTTACCTTTATTTTACCACCAAGCTTTGTAAGATATCCTTCTTTTGATCCAAACTGAAAAATGATATGTCTAAATATTAAAACGAACCTTTACATGTACATTTAAATGCAAGGATTTTTCAATAACTGATTAAGTGTCAATTGCTGCTACAATTATCTCTGATGGCCTTCCTTGATTTGGGTATGACTAAGTTGTACAGATGGTGTATTTATTCATACAACTAGAATACTAATAATCATCCCCAAAAATCCAGGTACCGTAAATGATCTAATAGTAGCCTGGGGTGTTTATTAATTTTATTAAATTATTTTAGAGGTCCAACAGGGGGCATTAAATAGGTAAAAGAGGACCTTGAGATCTTTGGTCATGTGCGATTGCACAGTGCTCGAGGAAGTGGATGACGTCAAGTATCAAGGGTCATGCATTTCCTCAACTGCATGAGCAAGATGTCAGATTGAGCGAGTTAAGGCTCTTGCCTGGAAAGCATTGAATGGCATGAAAGAGTCTGGAAAGCCAACATCTTTGGTGACCTGAGCTCTTAGGAGTTTTGTTGCCACTTCAGAGTCTAAAAATCTGCATCCCTTTAGGCACCAGCACCGTTCATCAAAATTGATATAAAAATCTTACTGACCAATTGACAATTGCTGAAAGTCAAGACTCTGATATATAAAAGGGGATAAAAATACAAAAGACCTTGCCAAGATACAGATCTGTATGATGGTTTTTCAAACTGACAGTGTACAAGAGATAATCAGAGATATGTTTTGAGAGGCAATATTTAAAGCACTTAACATGGAGATGGCACCTCAATGTCCCGCAAAAGAGGGAAAACAATGGCAGTCAGAAAATGTCAGGAAAATGTCTTTGAATTTTTTTATTGAAAGTGATACACATAAGACACTACAAAAGAGCTCATAGATTATGAGATATTGAAATTAATATTTAATTCAAAACTAAGGCAATTGTTCAAAATCTCAAAAGACAAGGATATAAGCCCATTTGTTAGCCTGCATGGCAGACATTCGAAAGGGAAGGGGAAGGAAATTTGGGTGCGAGACCGTGCGCAAGGGAGAAGGGAGGAGGGGATTGCCTGCAAGGTAGCCATTATTTTTGCCATCCACGCTGCCAGGTATGTATGCAAAAATAACACAACTGTGAATGTCTAGCTGTCAAATAAGTCTGGCTGCAATGCACATATTTAATGATTATTGGGAGATCGATTAAGTTACTCAAATAGTGTGATGTTGATTTCAACCAATCGGATTAAGGTATTAAGGCTGTGATTGACAATTTTGAAGATGGACATTCATCTGTCTATGTTTATGACATAAAAAACAATACCATCCTTGCAGGCATTCCACTACCTCCTTCCTCGTGCACCCCTCGCGCTTCTCTCATGTCCAGAATCCCCTTTCCCTTCCATTTCAAAAGCCTGCCACCCAGGCTACCCATTTGTTAACATGCATTACAAATATCACTTTCATATTACATAACAGAACATTTTCCACCTAGCTCTATCACAGAACAAAGAACTTATCAACCACTGTAGACTGAGAGGAAAATTACAGGAAAGATAATGTTCAGCTGCTCTAACACCTGATACAAATAAAAAGTCAGAGGGGTTGAGAATTCTTTTATTAAGACAATATAATATTATTTTTTCAAAAAATCTAAAACATGTATGAAACCAGATAATCATGTACTCACAGACTGAACACCATCATCAGTATTGTTTTCAACACTGCTTCTTCTGTTCTTGCCCCACTCAGCATGTACTCGCACCTTCTCATAAGTTGATGGTTCGGCTATGTCTCTTGGATATGGGTATTTTAATAATGTCAAAACTCCTAAAGAACAATAAAGAAATGATCAAAACTAACCTGAATTAGAAAAACTTCAATGATGATAACAAGTAGAAAGCTTGGATCGTTTTTTTTTTGTCACGTGAGTAGCATTTATTGTCAGTTTATCTACAGTACAAATGAATTTGTTTGCATAATAAAAATAATATAATACACACTTGCACCAAAATGGCTGATGTGTGCATGATCTCTGAAAAGACCATGCATTTACATGTAGTACCAAGCTAGTCTATAGGTTAATGCCAGGCTAGGGTTGCTTTAGCCATAGACCTCTTTGCAGTGATTCATTCTCTATTGATACACTATTAAAATTTGTTGGTTTTGCTCAGTCAGTCCACAACTGTTAGTTGTGCTTGAAGTCTGAGAGTTGGTTGTTTTTATTCATTGGGGTTTGTTCTCATAAATTATTCAACCTACGGGGTTAAACTTAACCTGGGTTTCTTTACCTTGTGTTCAAAAGCATTTTCTCAGATAATTTTGTCTGTTATTTTTAGAGCTTCCAATCATCAACTTGTAGACAAAAAGGAATTAAAACTGATATGGTTTAAGCTTTCAAATCTGAACTCAAATCTCGCACTTACCCTGGGTTATCTTAACCCAGCTTTGAACAACTCGGCCATGGCCTCTACATTATTCTTGTGCTACCTTAACATTTACCGACAAAAGTACACAGCTAGGGCTGAATTTCATGTAAAAACCTTACCTGAATCACCACCAATCAAAGGTTTGTTTTCAAAGTGTTCTACAAATTCACTCAAACATGAAAAAGTACCCATTCCAAATTTATACTGTGAACCATCCCAACCAATCTGGAAATGCTTCACTGAATTGGAACACCTGAAAAAGAGGAAAATGAAAATTAATCCAGCTGTGCTAACAAGGCTGTACTAAAACAAAGCTCCTTGGAGTATTGCTACCCTCTCTTCAATTCCCCACTGTAGAAAGGAGATGGGAACTGCAGCTGAGCAAGCAACCATGCGATCCACATGTTGAGGGCAGTTTGCTTACAAGAGCTTTTAGCAGAAAGCTTGCCATACATGTATGTAAATAACCCCTTTTTTGTAAATACATTCAGGTTAAAATACTAGTAATAACCAAAGGTTACAGAGTGCGGGCAACAAAGATCGAAGGACAAAACCCTTTTGCTCCATCACTGTGCTTCGCGTAAGTTTCACGTGACAGATAGTCAAACCACGCATGATCAGATTACGAGCGATAGAAGGTCCAAACATGCATGATCAAATTGCATTCTGAGCATTCCATTCATTCTTAGTGGAAGTCAATTAAAAAGCTCTTAAATTTCATTAATTATTACATTCACGTTTTTTTTAACAAACCATGCATTTAGCGCTTTTGTATGTATTACCCTAAATTTGATCAAGAAGTTAATTTTGACAGAGTGGCTGCTTGCAATAAGGAAAAGTGGTGCTTAAAAGAGCTTTACATTCAAACCAGGTTTTACAATGCTGATCAAAACTAAAGCTGGTTGCTTGCAAGATAAGTCAAAAGGAGATTGATTGACTGACGTTCTAAACATTTGGTTTCTGCTTTATGGATATTCTGTTGGGTGCTTTCCAGTTATGCGTTTGCCTTCAATTTATATCTTTCATCAATTGAATTCTTTAAGTCTCTACCCAAGAGCTGTTCAGCATCAGAAACAATGAAATGTCTGGAGATAAATTTAACTTAAGGAACTTGTTAAGTCAAATCTATGCACTCTTTGGTAGATTGCTCAAAATGGAACCAAAGGGGAGACTCAAAGCAACTACATGCTGCACATCTTCCTGATAGATAAGTAATAGAAAGTCAACAGCGATGGCTAACACAAAAATGAAAATTTAACATCATCATGAAAAAAATTTAATTCTCTGGGTGTTTGTAAGAATATGGCTCATAAGCTTGACAACCTATACTGACAATGTACGAACAGCACTTGCTAACAGTTGACTGACAGTCAAATGATGTTTTTATTGCTAAAGATTTGCCAATCTGCCAAATGGCAGTCAATTTGGCTGCCAATGGATCAACAGTAAAAACAGTAGTCCAACAAGTTTTGGGGGATGATGCCAATCACAAAAGATAAGAGAATGCTTACATGTACATGTAGCTCCAAAATGGTCAGCTCATGTATAACTCACAAAAACAACTGCATACATTGATTTACATGTATAATATATTTTTATGACTAGACCTACACTTTTTTAATAAAATCATATGCCATTCCAAAACATTTTGAACTCTAGAATTCAGGTGGAATATAATTCTGCTTCATTTCTTGCTGTCCTTTGGTCAGCATTCATTTCAATGTGGTGACGAATACAGAAATACATCTAATGCTGCCAGGGGAGGAGGACTTTGAGATAAAAGATGACAGGGTAATAGTCACCAAACAATGAATCATCTACATGTAAGTACGCATAGGTGTGACAAGGTCTCTGGGTGTGACAAAACTCTCTTCCATTTCTAGATGACTACAAAAGTAATGAAATAGATGTATAAAATGGAAAATCGGCTTTGAGTGAGCACCATAAAAAAGCTAAGATATTATTTTCATTACCCAATTGCAAACTTGCCTCACCTTAGAACTAAAAATACTCAGACCCTTTTTTATTGGCCTCAAAAAGAAATTTTCTAACCTTACAATTTTACACCTCCTTTTTCTTCACATTTGATATCTTACTGTTTTTTAAGAAATACAAGTCTTTTTGTAGCATTTGGAGGGTGGAAATTGATCAGCTACTGTACAAATTATATTCCAGGCTTAAAGGGATTTTAGTTTTCACCAAACCCATGTGGCAACTTGAAAATGCAATCATCTGACTTTGAAATGAGTTTGTCTATATCTATAATATTTTTCCTTTTTTTACATGTTACCTCAATGACTGTCTAAACAATATTATTTGTCTTCTTGGTGAATTTTTCTGAATTAGACAATGATCTTTTGAAGAAACAGCATCCAAGTTAGAAATTATTATGCTCCATGGCCAACCATTACTATTTTGCCATCACTTAAATGACATGGAAGTCTGCAAGAAGGCATTTAGCTAAAAGGCTTCTGATAACACTTTGAAACTGACTTACTTTACTGACAGTGAATATTCTCCAGGATTGGATGTGCTTGCCCTTAATAAATAACTCCCATCTTTTCCATTTGCCATGAGAAGGCCTTCTGCTGCATGTCGATTTATACTGTAGTGGTACCAGCTGAAACATCACATGGAATAAATCACCTTATAAGTATATTGTTTACAGCTAGTTCCCAAACATTAACTGACTAGTGAAATCCCTTATTGACATGATTCCTCTCCAAAAAAACATGGACTGCAAACCCTTCAAATTCCCTGCCCTTCAATCTTGTCTCCAATTTAACTAACTTGAACATTATTTTTTATAAAGCAAAACTTGGATGAAAACAATTTATGGTAGCTATAGGCCATGCATGCCCTTGAGTGCTTTGTTTCCTATAAACCTCCCTTTCATATACATGTAAGTAGGTCAGTCAGTCAAATATAAATAAGGATTCTGCAATCAAATAAAATAACAAGGCCTGGTCATATATTCAACAGCTTGAAATGTTCAAAATCCATTTAACGAGGAGCAGGTCTTAAACAACATTTTGTTTTAAAAAAATAAGGACATTGTATTCTTGGAATAATTAAAAAGAGAATTCTTACCTGTTGCATTTTTTATTTTTAGGGAAAGGAAACAAAATAATGACACTATGGTGGTGGCCTTATCTGTTAGCAAAGTACTGGCCCCAGTTGTTCAAAATGGGGATAGCAATATAAACTGAATAAATTTCTATCCACTGGATAACCTGATTGGATTGCCTAACTCTTATCCGCTGGATAGTGATTTATAATTCGGCTCAGCAGGGTCCATTCTCTTCAATTTGTACTTTTTTATTTATTAACCACTTTGAATACAAATACACCGAAAGGTACTTCCTTATAAGAGGCTAATGGGGATGTGCCGCTGGATGGGGTCGCATTTTCACGACTGGAGTGACTATAATGGGGTCACATTTTTAATACAGTTACTAGAATAGGGTTGGGATCGCAAAAATTACATATTTGCCCAAAAGTGACTAAGATGGGGTCTATAATTATTGGTCACAGAATAGACTGTAATGGGGTAGGGGCTCTGAGAGGCCACCACCACATGCCCACCCAAAATTTACCCAAGTACCCCCTCCCCTCCCCCTCTCCCTGGGACATATACCCCAGTGACCTGCAGTGGGCCTCGCCTTAAAGAATACTGGAATAGCACCCCTGTATCCATTTATTCATCTCTCCGTGGTGCCAGTTCTATATTGCAACTTCCCTCCGATTTAATATATGCTAAGCATAACTTGTTCTTCTTGAGCTCATAAGGATAATATTATGTGGCTGACAATCATGTTTACATGTACTCTAGTCAGCATGTTAGGGGAATATTTTGAGGTTATTTTGATGGTTTAGTAACTTGCAAGAAGGAAAGTGAGGTTCAATTATCATGTTTTCCCTGCTTGAGTGGGTTTTCAAAGTCATGTTTACACATTAATATTGTGAGTTTATATTTTACATGAAATTAAGGCATTCCATACAAAGAGTGAACAGTCAATTATTTTACCATGTAGGAATTATGCTCCCAGAGTAACTTTTTAAACCTCTTTATGATGATAAATAACATCATTTAAGTTTATGTATTACACTGCTTACACATTTTTAAATTCTACATAACTTGTTGGCATCTTAAAATATGAAAATGAGGACATGGAAGTGAACACAAACAAACAGAATGCTTCAAAATATGAAAACTAAGTTACAACATCTATAGAACAAAGTTCAAGAATGTTTCCTGGATAAACCTGGATAACATCAATGATACCCAGAAACAATATTCTGTAGGGTATAAACGAACGTGACTTTAGGGTGTGTGAGCAAAATCCTGAATTTAAAATGCAAATAAAACGGAATAAATTTTGTTAAAAAATAATGACAAGCTTTGTTTCTGCTCGTATAAATTGTTATCAACTTCATATGTCAGCTGCTAGCTAAATGTAAGAATTCTTGCAGTTCGACTTTTATTTTCTCTTTCACAAAAAAAGTTGGTGCATTTAAGTTACTGAAATTTCAAAATAATGAAACAATTTTTCTTTCTCAATATAAAAGAGCCTGTATATTTTTGAAAAAGAAATAAAAATGAATTAAGATCTGGCAAAGTAAGCTTAAAAGCCCGATGGCAATCGATCTTCTTACACACGATGAAACACAAAAAAATAAGCAGGAAACGGACGCTTTGAAAACAAAACATAGAGTGAAATTTGCTTCTTGGAGTACAAAAAATGTATATATTTTATCTCCGAATTACAGGGAACTAAAGCAACTGAAAATATAAATATAGTTAATTTCTATGCACACAATAGCTATTATTAACGAACTTCAGGCCACGATTCAATACACAAGCAGGAAGATAACGACTTTCTGAGGGTTGATCTCTCCAAGGTATGTTTTTTCCTTAACTTGAAACATTCGAGTATACAAAATATTGCATCAATTGCCTTTAAATTAGATAAAAGAGACTCTAACCTCAACTCTTCCACCTCAGCATTGTGCGCTGTGTCCGCCATCTTTGTTTTGTCTGTCTGTCAGATGCGAACTTCTATATCCCATCATGGGATCCCTGGGGAACACGAACTGTGACGTCATTTCCACAAAACGGAGGTGGGTTCTTGGTTCTTTGCGAATTTCCGCTTGGGAAGGGTTACAATTGATTAACGGCTCCTGGGCGACCTTTTATTGTCCTGTCGTAAATTGATAAAAGGTAAATTAAGCCTGAGCCCGGAGGCGAGATGTCTGCCATATAGACAGTTGAAGAATAACTAAGGAATAGCAGGGGACACGCTTTGTGGTCCTTTGTGAGCTGTTTGTCTTTTGTAAGGGGTGTTTCTCTGGAGAGTGTCTGTAGTTACAGCCATTTGTCTGAAAAAGGGCCAAAACCTAGGTTTTTTTCGTCCGATAAGCCCGAAAGTCAGACTACCGAAGGAAAAGAAGGGAAAAATTGGAGAGAGGGAGGACCAGATCAAGGTATGATTTATCTATTTTTTGATAGTAAATTTAGAATTGTAAACTAAAAAAACTGATTGAACGACAAGGACTACACTCTTTTTTTATATATAAGAATGTATTTTATAAGAATATCGAGGCTGAAATTTTCGAAATTTTAAGAATACTTTAAGAATAAAGCCAAGCTGAGATTTTGAAAAGGATAGATATAATTTTGTGTGTTGAAACATCTGTAAATACAATACAATTTTATGTTTTTAACTTAACCGTATAAAATTATTCCTTTCTCTGAACGGCGAAACTAGCCAACAAAACGAAAAAACCTGCACTAGCTATAGCAAAATGTTCAACCCTAATGACAGTTCGATGAACGGTACATGTAATACATATACATATACCCCAATAAATTCTAAAACGGAAAGGTCATAAGCTATAATTTAAGAATAATACAAGAATATTTTCAGCCTAAAATCGGCAGAAAAATAAGAATATTCAGCCTGGGCCGGAAAAACAACATTCTTATAAAAAAAAGTGTATTGCGCAGTAAAATTTTCAAGAAGTCAGCTAGATAAAGAGGACGACAGAAAATGACGTAAGAGGTCTATTTTAGCGCAGTCACCTTGTTTCAAATATTCAAAGAGGAATTTCATCACATTTGGCTAACAAGGCTCCGAAGACAGAAAGCACTGTTTGCGTTCCAAACGGCCTACAGTCAACTCTCGCCTTGCGGACACCCCGCTATAACGGACACCCCCATATTACGGACAGCAGCTAAATCCCCGGCAAAAACATGTTACAGACGCTTGACTGAAATAAACTCCCGCCATTACGGACTCTCGCTAATGAGGACCCCGCCTCGAGGTCCCTACAGTGTCCGCTATAAAGGGAGTTGACTGTATTTGACTCGATTCGCACAATTTTTCGGTAAGATCGAACTGGACTTGCAAAGATTTGACTTCTGACGGTGTACTAAGAATTTGCAGCCATTTGAACAATTTGAGGCCAAATCGAGCAAATTGGACAGTAAAGGGAGAGCCATAATAAAAAGGAGCGAGGAGAAGAGCAAAAGAAGACCAGACCATTCCCAGATCACTCAGGTAAATTAAGGCATGGGCCTCAATTTGCCTTAATTTGCTCTCTTCAAAAGTGAGGGAGTGGTCTATATCTAAGAGCTTTAGATGAAGAGACATAAAACTTTGCCAGCTAACCACATTTTTAGTTTGTGTCAACTTTGTGCTTTAAAATTATGCAAATTAGGTCACGTGACCTCCATCGGCTGAAAAAGCTTGTTCTTCAAATGGCAACACTTTTTCGTGTGTCTTCAATTATTTTACCGGTTGCATAATGTTAATGCCGTTTAATGTATCACTTCTGTGCTTGGCCTTTTTTAGATATTTAAAATCGAAGGCGTTAAGATGGGATACAATTACTTTGGGGAACTCAGTCTAGTTGAAAGAGCCATTTATTTTCCAAAACAGTAAAAAAATCAAAAAAGGCCAAGCACAGTCTTGTAGATGCTTGCATTACACATTGTCCTAAACCAGTCCGGTTTAATAACTCACAACAAAAAGTGTTGCCATGAATTTTTGTTTAAAGACTTTTTATTGTTTTCTGGCCGTGTGGAGTCACGTGACAACATTTGCATAATTGAACATCACCTAATTGACAGAAACCACACCTGTATGTATGTATGTGGCAAAGTCTCATCTTTCTACTACTTACGTGCTCAGAGATAGACCACTCCGATCACTTTTTTACTGAATCATTGCGGGCCCATGCCTTAATTTACCTGAGCAGTCAAATCCTAAATAGTACATGCACGATAGAGATTGGTCTTTTTAGCAAAAAAACTCTTGCTAAAAGCTTATTTCATTGTCAAGAAATGTCTGGTTCGACCGTGGAGCGGTCGGCCAGTACTGACTTTTTAAAAGTGCCCTTTTTTATTGGCTACCAAGGAGTTCCGAAAAACGAAAATTTATTTAGCGACAAGGAGGACGTATTCGTAGTACAATGAAGACATTTTCCAAAATCCAGCAATATATAGGGAAGATTCAGTGCTGTACAATGAAAAGATGTCGTTTTGCTATTTGTGCAGCAGGACTTTAGTGACTTTGTTGTGGCTTACCTCTGTCAATCATGAGCAACCTTTCTTCTTAGAT